TGGCTTGCTTTCTCGCTCCCCTCCTCCCTGTCTCTGGTCAAATTGGAAAATAATAATAAATAAAGTTAAAATAATAAAATAATTATTTTTAAAAAAATCACACCAGGTACATGTATATGCATGCCCAAGATCCCAGGAGAAGGGACTGCAGCATGGCCATGCCCCTGGGGAGGTGATTTCTCACCTTCCGTCTCACTATGGCTGTCTCCCCCCCCACAAGTCCCACCAGTTCATGTGCCCTAAGGCAAAAACTTCTATTTAAAATATATATATATATTTATATGTATATATATTATATTCAAATAAAGGATGTGATAGGAGAGCAAAGAAATGACAAATTTTGACTTAGGTCAGATGACTCGGGCTGCCACGGAAAATGGACAGCAGGAAGTACAAAAGGAAAACAGCACAAAAACAAGGAAGCCACTTCCACTGCGTGCTAAGAATAATGATGATTCTCCCAAAAGATGCATATCCCAAGTCCCAGAACTGTGAATGTGTTAGCTTATGCAACAAGAGGAACTTTGTGATGTGAATAACAGCTTCGACCTTGAGGTGGAGGGGTTATTCCATACTCTCCAGGACCCCATCTAATCAGAGGAGTTCTTACAAGCAGAGAACCCTTACTGGTTATGTTAGAAAGATGAGACCACCTAACAACTTGCTGCTGCTGCTGGTTGAAGATGGAGAAAGAGAGCTAAGAAATAAGGAATGAGCCTGGAACTGCCCTCAGCTGAAGGCTAACCTAGAAACAGGTTGTCAGTCCTAACAAGGACTGTGCGGTTCCTGCCAGCAACCCAAATGAACAGGAAACAGAACTTTCCCTAGAGCCCCGAGAGAGTGACACGGCTGACAACAGATTCTAGTGTGATGAGACTCATACAAGAGTTCTGATGTATACAACAGGTAAGGCAACTAATTTTCGTTGTTTTAAGTCACTAAACTTGTGGTAATTTGTTATGGCTACAACAGAAAACTAGTACAAATGCTAAGGGCAAGAAAGGACAAGGAGCTGCCATTAGGATGGAAAGGTGATGGCCAATGTCAATGCCCAAGGTCAGCTTCGGGCATCATTCTTTTAAGCCTTAACTGCAGAAGCAGAAGCTAACTAGCCCAAGAGAACAGGAAAACTACTGCTGCGTCTTCTGCCCTCATGCATACACCACGCATGCACAGTGCAATTATACACACTCCTAAAACCTAAAGGAACAAATGGAACTATGGAAACTGCAAAGTCTACCAATGTGCTTTAGGGAAAAAGCCTGTTTCTTTCAACAGCACAAAACCTGGTACTTATTTTCTTCAGCTGCCTTAAAGGTCACCTAATCTAAACTCACTATGCACTTGTAGTAACTCCTTCCGCTTCCTCTGCTCTGTGTTCTATTTTACAGTTTTCACTTTAGAGCCACTTCAAATCCTTTCCTGAAGTAGGTGGGCACAATACATAAGACAGCAGAACTGCAATATATGGTTTTTAGTACACATAGATCATTTATTCTTGGCTGCAAATGAGAAAATTAGGATAAGAATGACATGAAACTATTTCTAAAAAGATATACTGGCAAATCCACCAGTTTTATTCTTTTTTTCAAACATCTGTCTGACTAGCAAAGTCAAGCTGAGGTGGAAGGCACACATGCAACTCATAATTTTTTTTTAAGGTTTTTGCCATAGGGCATGTACACTCACCAAAGAGACAGAAACAGAGAAGGAAAGTGAGAACCCACCCCTCAGGTAGAATGGCCACACTGCAATCTCTCCTCCTCCACTCTCAACCTGGGATTTGAAGCACGCACAAACATGTGCCCGGCATGAGTTACAAGTTGCCAGATCCAGGACTCAAACCTGTGGTCGGCCATGTAGGAGTTCAGCACCTTAGCCACTAAGTCCCTGCTGGCCCATATAATAAATGTTTTTTAAAAAGAGAGAACATGATTAATTTGTGATTTGAAAAATAAAAATAAGGGCCCAGCGTGTGGCATGGTTGGTGCTAGACTATGGCTGACCACAGTTCGGGTCCTAGAACCGGCAGCTTGAAACTCACACCAGGGGCACATGTATGCGTGCCCAAAGTCCCAAGAGGAGAACAGAGAAGGGACTTTGGTGTGGCCATCCCTCCACCAGAGGAGGGATGATTTCTCGCTTTCTGTCTCTCCAGCAAGCACATGTACCCTACAGCATAAATCTCTCCAAATAAATAAATAAATAAATGAACAAAAAAACCTAATAAACTTTTCTTAAATCTACTGCATCAGAATTTGCCAACTAATGACAATAAAAGTATTTGATAATTAAGCCTAACACCAATCAAAATGGGTTATTCTTATTTTGGCAAGACTCTGAGTCAACTAACAATCTGAGAAAACGTGTATGAAGTACACCGCATGATCAGGAATACAATGCTGTTACATCCCAGCCACCATGGCACAGCTCATTAACTTCAGCACACAGGTCAATAAAAGGCATGGCTGCTCTCTGGGGCACAGAGCAGTTCCTTGGTGGTAAACCACAGGAGCTATGTCTGCTAGTCCCATGGCCAGGTCTTCGGAGAAATGTGCAGACCACAACTTTCAACCTTCCAAATGCTGGCAGTGACCCTAGGAGTTGTCAGGCACAAAAAGGAGCTTGCTCTTCTGCTTGGTAAAAACAGACTGCCAGTAGTAACTTGGCAACTGTCTATACTCATAAAGCCTGGAAAGAATGAGTAAACTAATGATGAAAGCTAAACAAAAAATAGGCAAAAGGGAAAGCCCTTGGCAAAGTAGAAGCTGAAATATTCAAATATTATATTTCTCCTATAAGATAGTCCCTGTAAATTTTCCTTCTAGTTCAGAGTAAGTATTAATACTAATTTTATCTTTGGTAAGTTAATTACCCTAATAATCCTAGACTAGTTTTCACAAGCTCCAAAGAAATTGTTTTCTAGCCAGTCTTGATCTGAGACTGGACTGCAGAGTAGGAGGCCTACCTTAATAGAAGCAAGGTGGAGCAAAGTCTCTCCTCTGTGATTTCTTTTCATGGCCATAAGGCTACTGGGCAATGGCTTCGCTGCTGAGGGGCTAGACATCATTCGTCTGTAACCTGAATTGTTCAGTATAGGAGGTGGTGTACCAGGTGTAAGGCTGATGGACTCATCTAATGCATTGCTGTTTTTCCTCCCAGATGTGTCATCAGCTTTCAGTTTACTTGAAGGTGGTGACAAATGATCCCGCAATGGGATGTTTCCTGAGAGTGCTGTTTGCTTGACAGCTTCTCCACTGGTGCTCAGGATGCTTCTTCTACACCTCTTAGAAATGGGACTGGGAAGTCTGCTGTGACATGTACGTTTTCCATTATGATCTAATGGTAAAGCTTTCTCAATCCTAGGAATGGTTTTGGAGACCTTCTCCTCAGGAGTCCCTCCTTCACTCCCGTTCTCGGTGCCTGGAGACTCTATATGTTCAGCCAGTGGTAAAAAAACTTCAGCCAAGCTTCCAGAACATTCTGATTCTACTGAGGAATTACTTGCTAGTAGGTCTATTTCACCATTTCCCTGGGGACTAGCAGTAACAAACACTTGGTTACTGAAGGACACCAGTTTTTCCTTAACTTGTTCTTTGGAGCCAAGTTTACTATCTTTTTCAAACATCTGTCTGACTAGCAAAGTCAAGCTGAGGTGGAAGGCACACATGCAACTCATAATTTTTTTTTAAGGTTTTTGCCATAGGGCATGTACACTCACCAAAGAGACAGAAACAGAGAAGGAAAGTGAGAACCCACCCCTCAGGTAGAATGGCCACACTGCAATCTCTCCTCCTCCACTCTCAACCTGGGATTTGAAGCACGCACAAACATGTGCCCGGCATGAGTTACAAGTTGCCAGATCCAGGACTCAAACCTGTGGTCGGCCATGTAGGAGTTCAGCACCTTAGCCACTAAGTCCCTGCTGGCCCATATAATAAATGTTTTTTAAAAAGAGAGAACATGATTAATTTGTGATTTGAAAAATAAAAATAAGGGCCCAGCGTGTGGCATGGTTGGTGCTAGACTATGGCTGACCACAGTTCGGGTCCTAGAACCGGCAGCTTGAAACTCACACCAGGGGCACATGTATGCGTGCCCAAAGTCCCAAGAGGAGAACAGAGAAGGGACTTTGGTGTGGCCATCCCTCCACCAGAGGAGGGATGATTTCTCGCTTTCTGTCTCTCCAGCAAGCACATGTACCCTACAGCATAAATCTCTCCAAATAAATAAATAAATAAATGAACAAAAAAACCTAATAAACTTTTCTTAAATCTACTGCATCAGAATTTGCCAACTAATGACAATAAAAGTATTTGATAATTAAGCCTAGCACCAATCAAAATGGGTTATTCTTATTTTGGCAAGACTCTGAGTCAACTAACAATCTGAGAAAACGTGTATGAAGTACACCGCATGATCAGGAATACAATGCTGTTACATCCCAGCCACCATGGCACAGCTCATTAACTTCAGCACACAGGTCAATAAAAGGCATGGCTGCTCTCTGGGGCACAGAGCAGTTCCTTGGTGGTAAACCACAGGAGCTATGTCTGCTAGTCCCATGGCCAGGTCTTCGGAGAAATGTGCAGACCACAACTTTCAACCTTCCAAATGCTGGCAGTGACCCTAGGAGTTGTCAGGCACAAAAAGGAGCTTGCTCTTCTGCTTGGTAAAAACAGACTGCCAGTAGTAACTTGGCAACTGTCTATACTCATAAAGCCTGGAAAGAATGAGTAAACTAATGATGAAAGCTAAACAAAAAATAGGCAAAAGGGAAAGCCCTTGGCAAAGTAGAAGCTGAAATATTCAAATATTATATTTCTCCTATAAGATAGTCCCTGTAAATTTTCCTTCTAGTTCAGAGTAAGTATTAATACTAATTTTATCTTTGGTAAGTTAATTACCCTAATAATCCTAGACTAGTTTTCACAAGCTCCAAAGAAATTGTTTTCTAGCCAGTCTTGATCTGAGACTGGACTGCAGAGTAGGAGGCCTACCTTAATAGAAGCAAGGTGGAGCAAAGTCTCTCCTCTGTGATTTCTTTTCATGGCCATAAGGCTACTGGGCAATGGCTTCGCTGCTGAGGGGCTAGACATCATTCGTCTGTAACCTGAATTGTTCAGTATAGGAGGTGGTGTACCAGGTGTAAGGCTGATGGACTCATCTAATGCATTGCTGTTTTTCCTCCCAGATGTGTCATCAGCTTTCAGTTTACTTGAAGGTGGTGACAAATGATCCCGCAATGGGATGTTTCCTGAGAGTGCTGTTTGCTTGACAGCTTCTCCACTGGTGCTCAGGATGCTTCTTCTACACCTCTTAGAAATGGGACTGGGAAGTCTGCTGTGACATGTACGTTTTCCATTATGATCTAATGGTAAAGCTTTCTCAATCCTAGGAATGGTTTTGGAGACCTTCTCCTCAGGAGTCCCTCCTTCACTCCCGTTCTCGGTGCCTGGAGACTCTATATGTTCAGCCAGTGGTAAAAAAACTTCAGCCAAGCTTCCAGAACATTCTGATTCTACTGAGGAATTACTTGCTAGTAGGTCTATTTCACCATTTCCCTGGGGACTAGCAGTAACAAACACTTGGTTACTGAAGGACACCAGTTTTTCCTTAACTTGTTCTTTGGAGCCAAGTTTACTATCTTTTTCTACCTTTAAATTCCACTCTTTGTTGATTTTAGCTAATGTTTTCTTTTTTTGCTTTTTTCCAGATCTTGTAGGAGCCTTTTTAGCCCCCTCAGTTGCACCTGCAAGAGGACTTGGGGAAACAAATTCATACATTGAGGCTTCAGCATTTTCATCTTTTGTCATTTGAGGTTGGGTTTGCACTGAAACTTTACTCACAACATATCTGACCTTCTTACTTCGAGGACTAAACCACATTTTTATTGAATTCTTCTTGTTTTGTGCATCATTAAATAAGTTTGTCCTAGATGTATCTTCTTTCGAATCTGACAGAACAAAAGGAAAAGAAATCTGTTATATGAATTTATTCTCTCCCATCTTGAGCTCTCAAAGATTTTTGTTTAGAGTTCTCTTAAGGTGTATCACCTTTTATTTCTATACTTCTGCTCCTGGGCTACAAATTCCTTGAGAGCAAACAGATATTTACTCATCTAACGAATATTTACTGAATTCTACTTTGTACCAGAGACTAGAGATACAGTAGGGAACAAAGCATGGAACTCACATCCCACTGATGGTAGAGAGAATACACACAATACACACTACAAACATTAGTAAGTAATATGCAGTGGGTCAGATAGTGATAAAACCTATGGAGAAAAAATACACTCAAAACTTAAAGACAAGAAGGCAGATAAAGGATTTAATAAGTAGCAGACTTATTAACTGGTGTTTAAGCTTTTACAAAAGACATTCAAATACCAATCAATACAATTCACTTTTTCAGTAAACAAAAGAAAAACCATGTAAAGTTCTCAACGGACTCAGAAAAAAAATCAACAAACTCCAATATCCATTCCTATATTGGGTTGTTGGAAAAGTCATAATGTATTTTTCTATGCAAAAATGTGTCATGACTTTGCAGATGACCTAATAATATTTTTAAAAACAAGACTCTGCAGGGACTAGCAGTTAGAGTAATGGCTATGTCACTGGACTCCCATGTAGTCGACCGCAGTTCGAGTCCTGGACTCGGCTTAAACTCACGCTGGGTACGTATGTGTGCGTGCCCCCAAGATCCCAAGAGGAGAATGGAGGAGAAGGGAACTGTGGTATGGCCATCCCCCCTAGGGGGTGATTTCTCACTTTCTGTCTCTCTATTTCTCTCTGTCTCTCTGACGAGCGCACACACCCTGTGGTGAAAACCTCTCCAAAAAAAGAAAAAAATAATAAAAATAAAAATAAGACTCAGCAAATTAGGAATAAAAGGGAACTTCCTCAAGCTGATGGAAGGCACTTACAAAAATTCATACAGCTAGCATCTTAAAACACTTACTCATGAAAGAATGGGACTATTACCTTATTCCTATTATCAGGAATAAAACAAGGAGTCTGCTCTCACCATTCCTATTTATCATCATACTGGAAGTACTAGTCAGCACAAGGTAATAAAAAGCTGTAATAGGTATGCAGATTGGAAAAAGACAATATAAAACCGTATCTATTCACAGTGACTTAATGGACTATGTGGCTTATCCCCCAAGAATCTACTGAATCATTGGAAAAGTCATGATGCATTTTTGCATAGAAAAATAGAAAAATACATCATGATTTTTCCAATGACCCAATAAAAAAAATCACTAAAATTAAAAAATGACTTTAACAAGACCATGGACCATAAGGTCAACCTACCAAATTCAAATGCATTTCTATATATTAGCAAAAAAACAAATGCAAATTGAAAATGTTTAAAATAGTACTATGTATAATGGTCCTGAAAGGAAAAAAAGAAAAAAGGGACCAGCAGATGGCATAATGGATATGTTGCTGAACTCCCACATAGTTGATTGCAGTTCAAGTCCTACACCCAGCAGCTTAAAACTCAAGCAGGGCGAGTGTGTATGTGCCCAAAATCCCAAGAGGAGAATGGAGAAGGGAATGCACCATGGCCATTCCCATGGGCGGTGATTTCTTGCTTTCTGTCTCTGACTTTCTCTGTCTCTCTGGCAAGTGTATGTGCCCTACAGTAAAAATCTCTCTTTAAAAATAATAAAAAAAGGAGAAAACATAAAATACTTAAGTATAACAGAAGTGCAAGTACTATTTGTTGAAAATTACAAAACATATGAAAAACTTCTACACAAATCAAGATATACCATGTGTGTGAACTAGAAGACTCAGTATTGTTAAGATATCAGTTCTTTCAAATAAATAAACCTAGAGATGTTATATAATCCCAGCAAATAGTCCAGCAGGCTATTTTGTAAAAATAGATAATTAAAAAGTTACACCCAATAGCTAAAGATTTATAATATAGGAAAGCAAAAGACTTAGAAAGCCAACACAATATCAAAGAATAACAAATTTGGAGTATTCATACTACCTGATTTCAAGACTTACTCCAGATAAAATGAATCCAGGGAATTAATGATCATAGTCATAACACTTTAAGTACCATCTAATATAACCGCAAACTATACAAGCCAAAGACTAAGGAGAATAAATGAGCAATACCTACATTCTCAAATAATCTCTTCAGTAAAAGCAATCAGATACAAGAGGACATACAATATGTTTTTACTCACATCAAATACAAAAACTGCCCAAACTAATTTAATATGTTAAGTCAAAACGGTGTTTGGTTATCTCTATGAGGAGAGGAGGCAGTGACTGGGAGGGGGCACAAGAGTATGCTTTGGATGAGTTTGGTTTGTGAAAACTCACTAACCTACACTTGGGCTACATATACTGTACTTTTTTATATTTAAATGAATAGCTTTAGTTATTATCAAGAATAAAACACAATGATTCAGTAGTTTCAAAAAAGAAAAAATACGGTACCAGCAGTTAGAGTAATGGCTACGTTGCTGGACTCTCATGTAGTCAACTGCAGTTTGAGTCCTGGACCTAGTGGCTTAAACTCACACTGGGTGCATGTGCGTGCATGCCCAAGATCCCAATAGGAGCAAAGAAAAGGGACTGCGGTGTGGCCATCGCCCCTGGAGGGTGATTTCTCGCTTTCTGTCTCTCTGGTTCTCTCTTGCCTTTCCAGCGAGCACATGCGCCCTATAGCAAAAAACTCTCAAAAAAAAAAAAAAATAGAAATTGTAGGTGGGACTGGCAGGTGTGTGGGTGGCGTGGTGGTTAAAAGCTATGGATTCTCACATGGCCAACTGCGGTTTGAGGCCTGGATCTGGTGGCTTGCTTTCTCACTCTCCCTTTCTCTCTCTGCCTCTCTCTAGTGAAATTAAAAAGTAATAATAACAAATAGAATTAAATAAAGAAATAATTCTTTAAGAAAAAAGAAATTGTAAGCAAGGTACCATTTTCTGAGTATTACTCTTCTGTACATACACCTGCTATTAGATTGTCAGAAAAGTCATGATGCATTTTTGCATAGAAAAACAGAAAAATACATCATGACTTTTCCAATGATCCAATAATTTAGTCAAGGTCATTGAGGGAGGCATCCCTGAGGAGCCAACTTTTAAGCTGAGACCTAAACAATAAAAAAGAAAAGAGTGGGCCAGCTGGTGGTGTAGTGGTTAAAGCAGCTGGATCCCACATGGCTGACTATGTGATTCGAATCCCAGACCAAGTGGCTTAGAAAACATGCTGGGTGTGTGTGTGTGCATGCCAAAAATCCCAAGGAAAAACAGTAGAGAAGAAATTGTGGCATAGGAATCCCTTCTGGGGAGGGATGCTTTTTCATTTTCCTTTACTCTCTACTTCTCTGTGTCTTTCTCTTTAGCAAGCACATACACCCTATAACAAAATTTAAAATATAAATAAATAAAAGAAAAATAGACACAGAAGAGTCAACAAGGAGTTTCCTAAGTGGAAGAAAGACCAATTGCAAAGGTCCTATTTTGGGGATGAATTTATCATATTTAATGAACAGAAAGTTAGTGTGGCTGGATTTTGGAAAAGCAGTGAGCAGAAGAGGAATACAAAGTCAGGCAGGTAAGCAGAAGCACTCTGTAAAAGACTCAGTCTTGGGTAGCTTTGGTTTTGTTTTGTTTTCAGACCGGTACTTGCTATTTCACCCATTTCCTGACTCAGCCTCCCAAGTCACTGGGACTACAGGCACACTTCACCAGCCCAGTTCTTTCAGAGAGGGTCTTGGTACATTGCCCATGCTGGCGGCAAACTTGCAATCCTTCTGCCTCAGCCTCCTGAGTAGCTGGGACCACAGTCAGCACCACGCCCAGCTCTTTCAGACAGGGTCTCACTGGGTTGCCCACATTAGTAAGTCTGAGTCTCCTAGGGAGCTGGGACTACAAGGATGCAGCCACCACACCTGACTTTATGGGTGGGATAAGAATCAAACCTGGGTCTCCCATGTGGCCTCAGCCTGCCAAGTGGCAGTGTCTACCAGTGCATGCAACTGCAACTGGGCCAGTGTTGGGTATTTTATTTTATAATGAGAAAGAGAAGGGAGGCAGAAAGTCACCATATTTTTGACAAGTTTTTGTCACATCTTGATACTCCTGCTCCAACTTGCCACAGGAAGGACCGCGGGCATGCACCACCATGCCCAGACTACTTAGGTTATATGGGGAACTAAACCTAGGCCTCCCTGTAACCTCAGCTTCTGTGCAGAGGGCTGGCGGCAAACTTGCAATCCTTCTGCCTCAGCCTCCTGAGTAGCTGGGACCACAGTCAGCACCACGCCCAGCTCTTTCAGACAGGGTCTCACTGGGTTGCCCACATTAGTAAGTCTGAGTCTCCTAGGGAGCTGGGACTACAAGGATGCAGCCACCACACCTGACTTTATGGGTGGGATAAGAATCAAACCTGGGTCTCCCATGTGGCCTCAGCCTGCCAAGTGGCAGTGTCTACCAGTGCATGCAACTGCAACTGGGCCAGTGTTGGGTATTTTATTTTATAATGAGAAAGAGAAGGGAGGCAGAAAGTCACCATATTTTTGACAAGTTTTTGTCACATCTTGATACTCCTGCTCCAACTTGCCACAGGAAGGACCACGGGCATGCACCACCATGCCCAGACTACTTAGGTTATATGGGGAACTAAACCTAGGCCTCCCTGTAACCTCAGCTTCTGTGCAGAGGCACTCTGCCCTTGCCAACACGCCTGAGCCCAATCTTAGGTCTTTTGCTGATAACTTCATCCTACCAAAGTCTAAAGTGGGCAAGTCACCATGCTCAATTTGGGACTTACCTATTAGCAATCACTCCCTTAGCAATCTTAACATACACTGTCATCTGTATCTACACTGACAACTCCAAATGCATCTGTTCAGTTCAGACCTGTCCCCTGAACTCCAGACTCCAATATCTGACTACCTATTGACAATGCTGTCTGG